CAATGTGGACATAATTCTCTTGATGGTAGCATTAGTTTTGTGGTAAAAAACAGTCATAGGACTGTTAAGTACATAGGATCTGTGTATTGCATAGATACAACCTATTTGAAAGAGTGCCTCACATGCAGTTGAGTGGAAATATTGTGAGCAATATTCAATCACTAAAAGTATGACCCAAACTTGTTGACTCTCGCACAACTTAAATGAAAGCATATTTGACCATGAGCAGGGCATGTTGCTCACTGCCATCAGACATTCATTTCTTAAAGAGCCACAATGTTTCTCTCTCTTTTTCTCCAGTTAATATTTGATTCTGATCCCACTAACTTCAGTGGCCCTTTCTGTTCTGGCAGTCAGATTCTTCAACGTGCTGTGTAGTTCCAAGACACGCTGAGTGCCCCTAATTCTTACTGACATCATCAGAGATGGATGTATTTGCTACCTCCCTTTCCTGGGCTTGGAAAGGTATTTGAACTTGGTTGGAGAATTATCAGGCATTTCTGTCATTTGTTTTAACATGCAAATTATGCACTCCTGTAGCCCTGGACAACGCTAAGTGCCAGTAAAAGAACCCTTTAAGATCTCTGTTGGAAGAGTGTCCAATAAACTTCATGATAGCCACAGACGGTAAAGACCCACTGGTACTTGGCTTCTAATGAGGGCTGCTGGTTACATAGCTCTTCTGAGCACAGAAGACATGAAGGCACCTAAAGGTATAGTGCAGCACATCAAAACACCTGGGAACCTGGGGGATTTAAAAAAAATCTATTTTCTTAGTAGCACACAAGGGAGAAAATAGGGTTAAAGAAAGGGCTCCCTCTGTACAGAAAGTGTTTTGCAGCTATAACTCAAATTAACATTGTGTTCCTCCCGCAATCATTATTACTAACACCACTTTCCAGACAAGAAAGGAGACAAAATCCCTTTCACAAGGATTTTACAGTTTGAATAGACAATGTATACTGAAAAAGGGCAAAGGACAGGGTGAGACAAGGAACACATAAAGGAGGGAGCCATTCAGCATGAGTCTGGATTCATTCCATTTTTAATTTGTAGGGTTTTTAATAATCAATTTCTCTTTCTGTATATTTGTTAATCACTTCACTAGCCTGATGGCATATTATCTCTTACTTCAGTACACAAGCAGAAATTACAAATTAAAGGTAAACTACACTGGGATTTCTGAAGTGTCTGGAGGTACTGACGGCTTATGGCGTTTTTCCTCCATGATTATTTATGCACGTGCCTCAAAGTACTTCTGATGTTGATGAGAGGCTAAGGGTAAAATTATACAAGAGACTTATGCTGTATGCAGGACCATACTCATGGGAAGTAGGAAGTGGGGAGCACAAAATACACCCGCAAATGGAGAGACTACGAAGCGATACACGTTTGGAATTCACTACTAGCCGGCTCTTCTATAAATCAAGCTCTTGGGGAACTCAGTTGATTGTTTTGCCAGACAGCTGATCTTTTGTACATCTAAAACACATATCAGAACCTTATTCTGCACTCCCAGCACCCCCAAAATTCAATTGAAGTCAGGGAAAATTCAGGAGGTGCAAAAATCACAGGATTGATTCTTTATATTGGTCAAAACACCAATCTCTTTATTCCCAGTTCCACTTACGTTCTCTCCACAACCCATCCTTCTCATGTACAAGGGGATAGTCCAGAATGGGGAAGAATCTCATTCATCAGGACAGCAACCAAGGGCAGTAGTTCCAACAAATCCACTGTTTGCATTGACATTGCAGTCCTGTCCACCTACGAGCTGCGTGATAATGTGAGGAACTGGAAAACTGTGGTTTTCTATCTATCCTCCCATCACCGCCCCCCCCACCCCCCACACCCCAAGTAGCCAGGCAGCCTGCAGTGTTTCAAAGCTTAATGATTGGTTTTATGCAGAACTTGATTTATTGGTGAAATCCACTTGATTAAATTATGCCTATTTTTGGCCATTCATTATTTTTTCTTCCATTTGTACCCAGAGCTCCAGGACACACACAAAAGATTTGAAACTTCACATGCTGTGAACACCAGCAACCCATTGAACTGTCAGGGCAAAAGTACATTTATGACAAAGCTGAATGAGTTTTCCAAGGCTCGTGGAATAGATATTTCAGGTCTGGCCCATGCCCCAGACTTGTTCAGTCCCTGCATTTGAAGGAATGACCCCCTCTGGTGCTTTTTGAGGCTGTTTAAAAAGGAAAACAATCCTTTCACTAGTAAAGAGGTTTTTTCTCATGTTTCAAGATCTTTAACACCATCTCCCTCCAGAAGGCTGCTCTGACAGCTCCACCTCAGGCTAGTTCAGCCTCTGTGCTCCCCAGCTTTTGTGGAAGAATGGCCCTAGAGCCATGTGATTCCCTGCCCAGCCATGAAGCTGCACACACTTGGGCACCTGAAAAAGAAACCCACAGGCTAAAAAAAACCCCAAAACCAGAGGTCGGGTTTTTCTTTCTCCCCAGCATTTTTTATTCTGGCATCCTACAAACCCCTCTTCCAGTGCCCCTGAAGTACCCAGATAACACTTTCCCCTCTGGACAATGGGGGCTGTGAGGACTTCACTGCTATTCCAGGGTGTGCGTGTGGATTTCATTGCCACATGAGGGGAGGGGAGTGGTGTGTTTGTGTGTGTGGACTTCATTGCCATGGGAGGGGCGTGTATGTGTGTGAACTGTAATGCCATCTGAAGGTGTACGTGTGTGAATGTCAATGCCATTCAAGGGGTATGTGTAGACTTCATTGCCATGCAAGATGTGTGTGTGAACTTCAATGCCATTTGAAGGGGGTGTGTGTGAACTTCATTGCCCCGTGAGGGGGGTGCACTTCGGTGCCATTTGAGGGGTGTGATTGTGAACATCAATGCCATTCAAGGGGG